AATCTCGAGAACATTGTGTTGAAATTTCACCGCACAAGAGCTTTCGAAAAGGCTCTTCTGCTGGAAACAATAGCACAATATACACAGGAGCAATGCAAAGCACGATAAACATTTTAGTTGTCGAGAAGAGACTTCAAGCATTGAATGTCGAAATAATAAACCTTCGAGAAAGTTACGAGCAAAATAGAATTGGAAAAGTCCTCAATTGGTTCTTATATCTTGTGTAAGCACCATAATTTCACCCTTCCCCGTCGCATAGATACTTTAATGCTGACCCAGAAACACAACACTGGGCGGATTTGAGGGTGTGCAGCTCTGGGAAATTAATTTCCCATTAAGTCGATGTTGAGGGGGGGTTGAGAAAAATCTGTCACTGTGATGTGGGAAAATTTCAAATTTGCCGCAAGAATTGATGTTTGGCTGAGACATGCGAGAGATAATTCAATATCTCAATGAATTTTCCCTCATTAACTCTCAATTTCCTCTCTCACTCGTGAACACTCACGGCCACTTTTCAATTAACTCAGCATCGGGTTAATGCACTTTGGCAAAGATATTCTATTGATAAATCGGTTTTTCTCGCGTGCTGTATTTTGTCTCTCCATCGTCTTGCACATTTTTCCTCCTCTGCGCACTTCTCCTTCTGCCGCATCTCGTCAAACCGACCATTTTTCCGGCTCCTTGCATGCGACACAATCTATTTTGGGCATTTTATTTGCATTTTGCCAAATGGAGGCAACAAAAAGCATCGCGGCAGAGGCGCGATGCCAGATCCAAGAAATGCCATCGCCGAGTGTGAATGTCTTGTATATTTAGACGCTGCGCGTCTCTCGTGAGGTGCATTTTGGCGAAATCACGCCGAAGAACTTTGTTCACAGCAAATATCAGGCAGAGAGCAAACATCGCGCATTGTGCGGCGGTTTCCTCACGAAACGCCGCCGCCGCCGCTGCGCTTTTCATTTGGATGCATTGGCAAAGACCATGATCGTGAAAATGTGCATTATTTATGCATCGCAGCCTCTGTATTTAAATTGACTGACTCTGCTGTGTTGCTCCGCAGATTGTGGGGCTATTGAGCACTTAGCAAATTAGTCTGGCCATGGATGTTGATGAGAAAGAAATTGGCGAAGTTTGGAGCGCGCGCTGGAGAAATATGCAGTGAATGGTAACGGAGGAGGATCGCCTTCGTTTAACACGGGCAAAGTGAGAAGCGAGATGAAATTGTAGCAGCAGAGCGAGCAGTGACCAAGGCTGATTATATGGATTTCCGAATCAGTAGGTTAACACGATCAGTGATCATCAGAGAAATTTCCACCGGACGTCGCGTGAAACACCTCGTCTAACATTTCACTCCAATTTCACACCCACCAAGTCTCGCCCGGCGCATTGCTCTCGAAGATTTATACTCAATGGGCAGCGCCGAAGACAAATTTAACTGCAAGAACTGTTGTTTTATCAGACTGTCTTATTGCCCAGCGAATGACCACCATTTATCTTTCACGCTGAACTACTCATCAGAGAGTGATGAAAGTGAACTGTTTCGCTCTTTATCACGCGACACAAGGGGTGAATAACACAGTGCAATAGAAAAAAGAAAAATAAAATAAAAGAATTATTTGAGGGATGAATCAAAGAGTCCATCTGAAGAGTTCATTTTTCTCTTTCTTATGATACCACACATTTGTCTTTGATATGTCTAAGACAGTGGAAATTCGAGGTTTTCTATTGTCTCCCTTTTCCGGCATTCAAAAAATCATATCTTCTGATCTGCTTATCACATTGCCTTTCCCTTTAGTGCGTTGAAAAGCCTATTAAATTCTCTGAATCTCTCTAGAAGACGCCAAGATCATAAGGAGTTTTTTTCTGCTATCAAAAGCTATCGAAAGCAACAGAACTGTCACTAAAATACCATAAACAGCATTTTTGCCCCTTCACTGGGCTTTAAAATAACATCTAAACTAGATAGTGATGCAATTTCCTGCATTCTCAATGGATTTTCACTTCTGTGCATTTTTATTTTTAATTAAAACTCCTCTTTCAAGCCAATATCCACCTTGTTTGCATACATTTTGCCAACAACAACTCATCACATGGGATTAAATTTGAGTAAAACGAGCAAAACTCACCGCATTATTCAGAAACACGAAACAGAAAGTGATTTTCATTAATATTAAAATTGCATATATGAAAATTTGTCATGCAATGGCAAAATTAATTAGTACGAAATTCAATAAATCATTTGCCATTTTATTAAATTTGTACACACACTTGTACTCACCCGTGGCTGCCAGCATGCGATCTCTGGCGCTTAGGAAAATCCGTGGTGCTTTTCAGCGTCGGATTGGCAGAATCTCTCAATTAAGTTGAAAGCATATTTCTCACATGTGAGAGAATTGTATCGATTTCCGCGCGACTTTTGCAACTTCACGGCATCGCCTGGGCTGAAGTCATTACTAATACTTGCCGGCTTGCATTGAAGTGCTAATCTACGGGCCAATTAAGTGCAATTAATAATGCAGCAGTGTCAAGAGGTGGTGAAATATGTGCGCATTATTTGGGTGGTGCCGGCGATTTTGCACACTCACTGGGAAAAGTCATTAAATTCCACCCCCGGCCACAGTGTGGTCAACGGCTCTAATGCCATCCCTTGCAAGTGCCTGAGAGGATTACTTTTCAATGGATTACAGTGGCAATAATGTGTGCATTAATGCCAGCCTGTGTTTATGAAAATTCCAAAACTTGGGCCAATTTGCTCACCAATTATTCCTCATCATGAGTGCTTTTTGGCTATTTTGCCATGGAGAGCATCAAGTGGTGGCTTTTTTGCCATTCAGTTCGATATCTCAACACAGCAAACACAAAATGCGCCACAGTCGCGCGATGTGCAAAATGCTGGAAAACAACGTCCTTTTTATTGTCCCTCCAGCAATGGTTGACGATGTTGCACATGCGTCCCCGGCATGTCCTTATACGGCGATTCGTTTGCTCTCCAATTGGGAATTCCGTCACAAGTTGTTTTTCCAAGCCAACTCTAAATTCACCCTCTTGGGTCTTTCCCAAGCATCAGAGCGCTGCCGCCAATTAAATCTCTCGGAATCTTCAACTTCAGGCAGAGAGACAAACTTTGTCGTGGGGATTTTTTCACAATATATAAAGTCTACACTTAATTGTGACAATTTTATCCCGTGTTTTTGCTTTGGCACCAGCAAAAATACATAGTCTAAACGTTCTTTTCTCTGCATATACAATTTTCATGTGCTTTGGTGGATTTAGAATGGGAATAATTTATAATCTCACAATATGACGGCAAGTCTATGTCTATTTCAGCTTGAAAATTTCTCAAGATGTGGAGAGCTTTCGAAAGGTCGTTACATTCACATCTAAATTTAGATAAGTGCGCTCATGAATAATTTCGGCAATTGTCAGCGTAGGTGTGGAAAAGGGAAGGAAAAATCCTTTGAATTTTGTATTTTTCATCAGTGGCACTTTTATGTCCCAATTTCGATAATCTTGATGGCCATTTGATGTGCGCCAAATCACGTTTTTGGACAATTTTATATTCCTCTCACATTTCCATATTTATACTCAATTAAATTGATAAAATGTCCCAGAAAATCATTTCTCCATTTTGATAAAAGTCCCCCAAATCAATTTGGGTCATTCACGTGACGTTTTCAGTCCCATTATTGGATTCAATCTCTCGTCTAATTTTGGCACTCGCGAAGTCCTCCTGATTAAGCGTCGCGATAAGGCATTTCGGACGCAAGTTTCTATACATTTTATCAATTCCCATTTGGGGCTAAATAAAAGGGAAATGATCGTGTGCTGAATGAATAAAAGTATATTGCGTGTCATATAAATGCTGTTGAGCGTGTGTGTGTGATTGCCAAGTTTGAGACACACAGGAAAGATGTGAAATTTATTGAATTAAACTCATCGATTGGCCAACTTCATTTGGGTGAATCAGTAAAGTTTCAGTGAATGACTGCCGATGGGCCTTGTATGGCAGCTTATGGACGTATTGTTTGTGCTATGTGAATGCCTGGGCTCTCAAAGTGCTCTTCGGCACCTCAATGAGTGCCCAAATGCCGCTGGATTCCATGCATATTTCATGCCATGGCTGAAATTCTATTGGCCACCTTCCCAACTGACCGAGTGACAGGGCAGAAAAGGTCAAATGATCATTACAATTTCACCCCATCGCCACGCAATTTCGCCCAACCACTTCCATGATATTCTGCAATTATTTCCACAACTTATCTGTTATTCATAAATCGATGGGGAGATGAGACTCGCACATGTCTCTCAACATTGACACACGCGCTTGTCTGTATGGCGTTTGAATAAGTAACTCAATCCACTGATCACTTGGGAGTCTATTAAGGCAAGGCAGATTCTGCATTTTTAAATATCTAATCAAGTGACTGATATTTCATCATCTGCTCTCATGAATCACAATTTAATGTCGACAAAAATGTGTGTTTTCTGCATAATAAATTCATGAATTGATAATGAAGTCGAATGGGTGAAAATGTCTTGCATCAACATGAAACATCATAGCTAATTTGTTTGTACAACAAATAAAGCAATTATCATAGGTAAATTGGTCTTGCATAAGTCTATATATATAATGGGGTAATTGTCTTTGGAACAGACAGAAGATTCCATGAGCAAACAAACGGAGAGAAGCAAATATCAAAGCCAGCAACTTTTTCGCTGAATACCAAAACGAGACCAAATTAAATCGAGGGAATTCCTAATAAAATATGCATCAATTGCGCACACATAAATCTCTGGCAGCCAGAAAACCAGTTGAAATAGTAAATTTAGGAAGAACCTTGTCCTAGAATTTATGAATATGCTAACTCGGCGCTCTTGAGTGGTCAAGAATTGGGGCGAAACGATGGGGATTTAATGATGAGGATGAATTTGGGAAAGTTGCAACTCTTGTGGCTCACAATTCAATGCATCTAACTCAAGCAATTAATTTTTGATTTCAGGATTCCTATCTTGGGACGTGTCAGACTGTCATGTTGATTTGGAGGAGGAGTTGAATACGATTACCCTTCATGCGCCAGAGGGTGAAGAAGCTCGTCATGGTGAGTTATTTATGTCAATTCTATTCACACACACACGTGGAATTTTCCATCTCGCCGCGGATTACGAATTGTCCTGTGAGCCAGAGAATCACCACAAAATCATGACTATATCCAGAGTGTTCGGAAAATTGACATTTACTTGAGGTATAAATTTAAGGGTGTGATTTTCTTGGATTTCTCCCTTAGCCAGAGCGGAAAATATATCACTTGAAATCCATGAAGACTCATAGATCTTCCAACAACTTCACATTTCAGCAAGCTCACGAGTGTTGCAAGTGTTTCTGCACGTTTCACCTGAGCTTGAGGCATATATGTTATGTGAAAAATATGTATATGAAAAAGCTCTGAAAGCTCATAAACTCACCCATCCATCATCATCCACGTTCTGCAGCCTTCCGCCCGCATCCTTTGTGCGACTGCCTCAAAGTCACCCACTTTGCGGTTGGTTGGGTGAAAAAGCTGCGAGCTGAGAGGCCAGAAGAGGGGATGAGCTTTTCTTGATATAGCATCCAATTTGATGTATCGATTTTTCCCTTATTGTGCATCATTTTAGATCAAAAACTCGTGCCAGAACCGGAGATTTTCTTTCATAAATAGAGAGATAAGGAATGGCTTTATAATTTGATCCTGGAGCTTTTCTCCCATTTTAATCCGATTCCCTGCAAGTTTATATGCTTAATTGCTAATTCATACTTTGAATTTAGCCACAAACTTCTGTGTCCCGATAAAATCTCTAAGCTTGTGAAGTAGTTTGGCACAATTAAGAAGTGTTATTCTTGAACAATCTCTTCGCTCAACCAATAACTTTACTAACGACTTTCCAACAATCCACTTAAGACACTGTGTAGCAAAAAAAATATCCTTCGGAAGTCTTGTAATTTCTCAACAACACTCTTGGCCACCAGGAGGAGCGAGAAATCTTCATTCGTTCCAACTTCCTGGCCGCGTTTTGTGGTAGTGGCGAACTAAAGGGGGAATTTATGTCACTTCCCAAAGCCCATTTAACGACTCTATTTGTACATCACCGGAAAATGCGGGGATGAGTCCTGGAGAGGGTTGACAATGATTCAAGGGATTGTCGTCCTTTTAGCGATAGGTGGGCACACATCATCAATCTCACCTCGTGAAACTTTCATGGTTTATTGGATAAAATGTGTGGGAAACATTTTTGTCGCACTCTGAGCGCTCTATTCGCTTTCCTTGCCGTGTGATTTCGTTCGCTTTTGCCGCTGTGGACAAAAAAATACCCTTGCTGTACACTTGTCGAGGAGCGACAATTTTCCCCAGGGCTTTGTCACTCAAATTCCTACCCCTAAAACACTCCAACCCCTCCTCTTCGTCCGGCAATCAGTTTGCAGGCAGTGACGGATTTCCACGGAAAAATGTTGCGTACTGACTAAACATCTAGAGAGAAAACTATTTTATTCAATTGTGGCTCTGGATGTTTCGTTTTCCTCTGAGTGTTCAGAGGTAAACTAATTCTGGAGGACATTCTTCCACGAAGGAGGCCAAAATAAGTCCCTCTCGCGGGGATTCCTTCACGAACACAGTGCGATGGAGAAAAGGGAATAAATTGGTGAAATGTTTTCCTGAATGCGCCACTGAAATGTGGAGCAATCGTTTTGAATGCGCCACACAATCGATTGGCGCTTTCAAAATAACACCCCAAGAGAGAATGTGGCTATGGTGTTGTTGTCTTGGGAACCGTTGGTCAAATTTAGAGCTTCCGGCGAATAAATTTACAACGAATTGTACTGCAATAATCGCCCACTTTTCTTCTTATCTCCCCTGGTTCATGTCTTTTCCACCCTCGAATTTTCCGTTTAGCACAGGATTTTCTCTATGCTTTCCTGGCACGACCGTCTCCCCTCGGCGCTCAGTCGCCACAAGGAAACAAACTCTCATGTGTCGTCCCTTCGCGATAAGACAATTCCGAAGGCATAGGTCAGTTGGTGGAAAATCCATGGGTATCTTGCTGCGGGGAAAAACAGAGAAGCCCCTCACGAAGGGTGGAGAAATCGAATTCATGCGATTATCTTGGGATATTCTTGGAAAATTTCCACCTTTGGTCCCTCCATTTCCTCCTAATGCCGCCCCATGGGCAGAATAAGTTAATATTTTTATGCCCAACTCTGCACACAAGCACAACATTCATTAGATATGACCTCACGAGCGTACTATTTTCGGAAAAAAAATGCGACACACACACACACTCGTCTTAATTTACATGTGAAATTCCTCGAAAGTTGCCTTCATGTGTGAAAGAGGTGGCGAAATGGGTGGAGAATGTACTGAGAGAGAAACTCTTATATTTTTTCTGCCCCATGAATATTATATACTACGAAGTAGGGTGGAATCATTCCCACGTGACACGCTTTTTCTGCCATGAAATCTCATAAAATTCCACCCAAAAGTGCTAGAGGCGCCGAAAGGGCTTTCAACTAAGGAAAAATCCACCTCATCACCGAAATGACTGCCACACTTTGTCTTCCTCACGTGCCTCAATTGCCATCCCCCCCCGAAAATACCGAGAGCCGAAAACATATTCAATATTCAGTGGAATCAATAGTTGCACGATATGAACGTGAATTGTGTCTGGGTGGAATGTATTTCTCCTGTTTCGTGGGAGAGAAGGACCAACCTTATTTGTCCTGACAAAAATTCCAGATGGAAGACAGGCTCGTTTGACGGCAATTGAGCAAATATTTTGCCATCGCCAGAGCGCAAAACTCTGGAGAACAATATATTTATTTGCTGAACGACTGCACGAGGAATACCTTCGTGGAATATCTCCGTATGACTGATTTATTTACAACTTCTTGGAAGATATTCGTCTTCTCACAGGGATACTTTTCCCTCTTGGTGTCATAATCTTGTATATTATTTGTAAGTTTCTCTTTGTTTTCCAGTCATGAATGGCATTTTGTCCATGTGAAAAGTGACTTTATTCTCTTGGAAATATCTTCATCTGACTTGATCTGAATGCAATTAAATATGAAAGGGTAGCAAAAGTGACTTTTTGTGAAATTCAGCTCAGCAAAGCTTTTGTAATGTCTTATAAAAGCTTAATAGCTGAAATACAATTTTTAGATGCTTTTCTTGACCTCAAAAAATCCTTTAAACGCCAGATGAACAAGAAGTGTTCACGCAAGAGTGAGGAAAAAGAAACTCTTCTGTAGGACAATTTTTTTTGGTTACAACGCAAAAAGAAAATACAACGAGGTATGTTTGTCTTTGGGAAAAACATGGGGAAAACTAAGGAGAATAAATGTGCAAGTCACGTAAGTGAAATTGGTGTCTATCTTATGGATCCACGAGAGGTTTCTTCGCTGTGAAGTCTTTTTTGCTTCACGTGCAGGAAAAGCCCCAAAAATACTTTGCTTTCCTATGGTTTTCTCGTCTCATTTTCGCGTGCACAAGAGCTGAAGATTGAACAGCTCTGCAAAAATTCCAAGTCGAACTCTCAAAATGGATCTTTTTTGCCTTTTAACAAACTTACGAAATTTTCTACTATTACTTTTTCGCCTTCAGGCTAAGCCAATATATATTGCCACTCGCTCGGAGTGTGGAAGAAAAGCGTCAGTGGTCAGAAAAAGCTGTGACGAAAAATGGTGGCGGCGAAGCAAAAAAAAAGCTCAAGCTCATGTGTGGAATTAATTGCGTTTTTCCATAGCATTTTCCCGCACATTCATGTTTGATTATCGAGCTGAAGAGGATGTTTTGCTGATGCTGTGTTGCCTTGTGAAAGAGTTCATCAGGCTGAATTTATGCGGATTTTACTTTTACAGCTGAAATGCTGGGAAATATGAAATTGAGTTATGCAATTTGCGGTGAAAGAGCCCAACAATGTTCCAGTTTAGATGTGCGAAATGCTACTTTATTGAATAGAAATGGAATATTTTGCGCACATCAAGTGGAAAATAGTATATTCTATGAACCTTCATGGACTTCATCATGATTTACTGAATTTCACTGCATTCAAAGTTTCTCACAACAAATTTCTGATGCATCAGAATGTTAACTCCAGAATAGTAGTATGTCTAGTTGTTCATGCAAATGCTGACAGTGTTTGTCTCACGAGAAACGAACAAAGCCAGTCAATTCTTGTGCTCTTAGAAAGGTGAAAAACGACGGAAATAGCCTGAAAATTTAGGTCGAAAGGGTTGAAAGGCACTAATTGAACTCCGAAATTCAATTTTGACCATTTCGACTGTGATATTTTTAAACTCTCCTCCAATATATTATGAATGTTTATATTGACTTTCTGATAAGCTTTCTGGTGATTTAATTTATAAATACAAATTTCACGGGAAGAAATGTAAATTTTTCCCACGAAAAATCAATTAACCTGCAATGAATGCGAAAGTGGGCGAGTTTGAATTTCACTGAAAGTGCTGAGAAAGTAAAAAGTTATTTCAATGCCTAACAGAATCGATACTATAAAACAATTATTTTATAATTCCTCTCTTTATTCACAGTTTTCTGTGTGTGAAGGAAAGTTAATTGCACGAATATTTGACGCCTTTCTAGCAAGTAAATTTGCGCTTTTGTGCACTTCCGAATATTGCAAATTTAGTAGACAATTCGTCAGTGTTGCTGAGAAGCCTGATAAACGTCTAACGTCTTTGATCTACCCCAAGGAAGACTTCATTAACTTCCCTTCGCTATTGTTTGAGGGCTATAAAATGGCGCAGAGAAGAGGATTTCCTTCAGCGTGCGGGCTAAATAATACCGAACAAAAGAGGAAAACTCGGCTGTGTAAGCTTTTATCACTTTCTTCATTGAGGAATTGTAAATAATTTTTTGCTTGTTGAAGTAATTTGAAGAAGATTCGCAGTGTTTTGCGATGACAACAAAAATATGATGGCTATAAGGAAAATATATTCCAGGAATTTTCTTCTACATCTTGCTTTCATTTCTCGCTTTCATAGTGGAAAAACAAATTTAACCAGTGAGAAGAAAACTTTGGCAATAATTCTCAGGACTTTTTGCCCCAACTG